AATGCAGCTTTCTCTTTGGACTGGGTCCGGTGTTGGGGACTCCTGTCCGACTGGCTTAGAGGCACTTTGGAACACTCTGATTCAGAGCAGTGCAGGAGTGTTGTGCCAGTAATAAAGGGTGAAGAGAAGCACACCTTTTGCTGCCAATGCGCCTGCAGCTCTTATGGCACAGATGGTCCATTGTGATAGTTTATTGCTAAAATTAATGATTTCCGCTGCACTGCTGGATCATCCCTCAGATGGCATGTGCAGATGGGGGGCCTCTGCTCTGAAATCTCTCCTGTCCCTCTGTAGGGTTGGAGAGCCACTCAACAGACAGAGGTATAGGGAACAAACTGGGGAAAGGGCATGGATAACAGTGAAAGGGTAACAGCTGGCATCAGGCTGCATTTTCTTATATGCAGTTCCTACTCTTCTATTCAGGCAATAGAACTTTCCCTATGGAGAGTTAAGGCATAAAGGGAGCCCTGACCATACAGTTGCATTAGACCTGTGCTAAATAAGCATCTGAGAGGGGCCATATAGCCCTGAGCCAGAGCAGAGGCATTTGACAGACTGCTCTGGGCCCGTGCAGATTGTCTGAGATCCATTGGTTCTGTCGGCTGCACTGTGACAGATTTGGCAATTTCCTGCAATATTCTTTGGAGACCTTTTGAGTTATTAAGCTACAAAAAGATGGGGTTGTGCATAACTGCAGGAGGGGTATTTGCATTCACTGTCCCTTAGCCATTCCCCAGGCAAACCACTTTTTTTGGTTCCAAAAGTCCATTCTCATCTGGCACTTCAAGAGTGATTTCTCTATAAAGAAATCAGCTGAGCTGCCCTGTCAGGGTTCTGTTTCTTAATCTGAAACAGTTATGAACTTGTAACCACAGAGAGAACCCTGTTGTGAGTTTGGAAGACTTGACACCAGATCTTCCAAACTCATAACAGGTACCAGAGTCCGAGGCTGAAGTTAGGGTGATCTCCGATAAGCTTTTTAGCATGCGTGTAGGATTTTTATAGTTTTTAATGTATTTTTCTCAAATGCTTTCATCTTAAGAATAAGCATGCTTGCTTGTTAGAAAGGGCTGTGTAGTAACTTATAACTGTGGGCCATTGACCTGTTCATAGAGTCTGGAGGGAAAGCAACATGCAGACACTAGTTTAGGCACGATGCCTTGCTGCAAATATCAGTGTAGGCAGGGAGCTGGGCAGCCTGGAAACGTGGGTCTCTACCCAAGAGTTAGTGATGAATGAGGAGCTGGGAGCCTACGGTATCCTGGGCAGGCCACAGAGAGAGAAAACAAGTGCAGTTGCCTGGAGCTGTGACATTAACCACTCACAAATTTGGTGATTGGGGGGGTTAACACCCCCACACCCAATGGATTGAGCTGGGGGATGCTGTGAGGGGGAAACTTACAAATTTCTCTCACCTGGCTCCCTCCTGTGGATTTTTTTCAGTGCATGTGGATGATATTCAGCCAATTGCTGGTAGGGCAGACTGCACCCTGTACAGACAAGTGGCCAGAGAGCTGTCTTCTCATCCTCCCCTCAGCTAGGTATCAGAATAGTGATGTGCACAGCCGAACCCATGGAGTTGTGTATGAGCTTTGGCAGAGTATTCTCTGCCAAATTATTCACATAAAATCAATACACACTCTGTTCTTTGAGGATAGAGAATAACCTCCCGCACCACAGTTGGTTCTGGATTAAGAGTCTTGTTGTTGTGTTTTCCTGTGATCAAATGCAAAGGGGCCTCCTGACCATTAGATCTGCTCTTGCTTGTTCTTTAGCAGAGACCTTAGATTGTTCTCAGCCCTCCCTTGTATCTGCTAATATGACTGGGCTCTGTGCAGAGACTGCTCTGCATAGAAATAACACTGCTCCAGAGTGCAGTCACAGCCCAGTTCCATGCTCCAAGTAGCAATCCATTCTTATTTGAATTCTGGTAGGACCTAAAGGCTCCAACTGCAATTATGCTAGGTGCCGTACAGCCACTTAGTAAGAGACAGTGTCTGTCCTGACGGTTTTACAATCCTAAATAGGCAAGACAACCAAAGGAAGAATTATTATCCTGATGCCTCATTGAGGGAACTGAAAGAAGTGACTTGCCCAAGGACGTCCAGGGAGCTTGTGACAGAGCTGGCAGTTGAGCTCATGTCTCTAAAGTGGGTATGAAAATGAGGGTTATGCAGATACATCACACAGTCTTTTCTGCTGGCCTGTTCCTGTTGATTCTTGCGTGTGGGAATAGCTGGATTACTTGCAATAGTAAGCTCTATGCATTGTGGTGAGGGGTATGTAGGACAGCGGTGCCCAATAAAGCTCACTCCAGACAGCACCATCTGCCACAGTAAAGGGACTTCTTGCTGTCTTGTTGGAGAATATGGGATATATTAAAAACAAATTATGCCATAGATTGAAAGGACCAAATTGTCTGTTGGTGTCAATGTGTGGCTATCCATTGACTTCAATAGGGTGGCCTCAGTTTACACCAAGAGAATTTAGCCTATAGTAGTGAATGCATAGAACAAAAGTTTACTTGCATGCCTCCACTCCTGCATTTAGTACTTTTAGGGTTCATGGTATGTACTAATGGCTCACAAAATGTTACTGGAAGGGGGAAGGCAAAGTCCCTGCTGAAACTGGCTGAACTCTGTTGTAGCATTGCACTTCTCCATTGCAAGTTGGCCTGGATTTTTACAGCTGTGCTGAAAACCCATCAGAATAGGTTAGGGTGGAAATGCTGATGGACTTTCAACTCTAGGTGACCTATTGGTGTCTGCTATAGCAAGGATCTTCCCATAGGTGGTGGTTTAATTCTCGTCCTTTGACCGCTGGAAAAACAAATGTCTGAAATATCTGAAGGAGGCTAAGGGGGGTCATTCTGAAGAGATTCTTACCCTCTAGAATTTTCTGATACATTAGTAGTGAATTTGGGGAGCTACCTAGATTATGTCACAAATGAATGAGCTCTGTCAGCCTCTCAAGTCAGTTAAAATCAGAGCCAGCTTTAGGCATGCACAGAAGTGTTTTGCCCAATCTCTGTTGATGTCTGACAGATACTCAGGATGTCTCTGTACATAGTCATTGGATTAGTAGTTGTAGATGGCTGAGAGGTGGACGTGAACAGGTGTGTACAGTTTGGAATAACACATGTAGCACCCTCTAGTTTATCTGGGAAGTCCTGGCTTTGTCCATCCTATGGATTTTTGGCCCAAACTTCCCACTGTCCAGTTACACTCAGCTGATTGAATCTCTTGCTCCTAACAGGTTTCAGAGTAACGGCCGTGTTAGTCTGTATTCGCAAAAAGAAAAGGAGTACTTGTGGCACCTTAGAGACTAACCAATTTATTTGAGCATAAGCTTTCGTGAGCTACAGCTCACTTCATCGGATGCAAGTGATCACTCTCCTTACAATGTGTATGATAAATCAAGTTGCTGCTGGAAATGGCCCAACTTGATTTATCATACACCTTGTAAGGAGAGTGATCACTTTAGATAAGCTATTACCAGCAGGAGAGTGGGGTGGGAGGAGGTATTTTTCCATGCTTTGTGTGTATATAAAAAGAACTTCTGCACTTTCCACAGTATGCATCTGATGAAGTGAGCTGTAGCTCACGAAAGCTTATGCTCAAATTGGTTAGTCTCTAAGGTGCCACAAGTGCTCGTTTTCTTATGAGAAAATGTCACCTTTCTCATCCTGGTTTTAATCTGGAGGTCACTGATGTGCAGCTTTGTGATAATGATGTTTAGTCTTCGACAACATTAAAAAGAACTGATTAGTCTGGACATTCATAGATTCAGATTTTTAAAGGCCAGATTATGATGATTTAGTCTGACCACCTGTATAACACAGGCCAGAGAATTTCACCCAAGTTTATGTTCATATCTTGTTGATGAATTTTGGGAATGCTTTCACTGCACTTTGCAAGCAGGAACGCAATTTAGAATCTCCGTGCTGAGGCACTGGTTTGTCAGGCGATTATCAAAGGCGTGTGTGTGTTCTCCGTGTAAGTAATATCAAGCAGGGGTAGCTGTAGCTCAGTGTTTAAATAACCGGTTAAAGCTTTGATAGCCTAGAAAGTCCACCCTATTAACATATTGTACTAGTCAGAAATTGACAGCAAAATAAATACTAGGGATCTGATTGTTATCCTGCCCCTTGTGTAGTCACCTTACCCCAGTGCAAAGTGAGTGTGACATGCTACCAGGTCAGAATGCACCATGCTCACAATTGCTATATTGATTTGGGAGCATTTTACACTCAGTACTGCTGTAAATGGCTCTGCAAGGTGCAGAGCATTGGTTGATCAGACCTCTCGTGTTGAGGAAGATGCATCAGTGGCATCTTAGCAAGCATGTAACTAAACCTCTCTAGCAAGATTGGGAAGAGATGCTTTTCTACTCGCCCATTAAGTGTAGCTGCATTTGCTGTTGCCTATGCCCTGACATGCCTATTGTGTGCCATATGGAGAACTGTTTGACTGACCCAATGTTTCCCCCCACTATGGGCACTTCTGGTGCTGCCTTTTGCGAGCGATGCTGCTGACAGAGGCTGAAGCTTTTAAAATAGCTGCACTCCCATCCAAATGGCTGGTTTTTCACCATTCTAAAAAAAAACATGTGGAGGGGAACACACAGCCATTTTACGAGATCTCTGTAGGGTTCAACCTGAAATGAGGTTCTCAAGCAGCTGTAAGTAACTAGAGCTTTGTCTCCTGGTTTTTTTTGCTTTCAGATTTGATGGGCAGGAAACAGGGGAATGGCCCTCCTGGGGATGGTGGGTTTAGTCTTGGAACCCTTAGGGAGGCGATGCTATGCGTCAAAGTCCGCACTCGTTTGCACCCATGGCTGTCTACAGGGTTGGGTGTGGGTAGGATGGAACAATCTGGCAGCAGCACTGGAGTCAGCACGGGTGTGGGAGTGTGAGAGTGTCATGTAAGTGTCATGCGGGAGATCAGAACGTGGGACTTGTTCGTTTGCTTTCTGTTTGTAACTTAGTGTTTCCTCTCCAGTGAATGCCCAGCCACAGTGGACCCTGCCACTGCTGCACCGGGGAGCTTCCGGGGCTTGCTGAAGGAAGATGGCTTTCTGGACACAGCTGGGATTGCTGCTATGGAAGAACTTCACATACAGGCGAAGACAGACAGTAAGTTTGAGCCATTGCCTAAGTTGCAGCCTCGTAACCCACCAGACTTAGAAGAGAGAGAGCAAGACACACTGGTCCAGGATGTAATCTTGTAAAAATGTCCATATTAATATGACAGTGATTTTTTAGGCCTCTGAAAGGACCCAATCCTGCAAGGTGTCGAGGTGACCTGGTCAGTGGGAACTGAGGGCGCTCAGCACCTTGTAGATTCGGAACCGAAGTCAGAAGAGTGTGAACTTGTGGGCCAGCATCCCGAGTACAACCATATCCAAGCCCACCCACTCGTGAGAAAAGACAGACCCCTGCAGCGCTCACCTCGGCTGAGCATTTGTGCAGTGACCACGGCATCGCTTGCGGTGGTGCTTCGCCTGCCGATCAGGCTGTATGTCAGGACTGAACCTGGGGCCTCTGGATCTAAAAGCATGAGCTTCAGCTGCGTGGCCAGGGAGGAAGTCCTGCTCCCATTAAAGTCCTTCACAAAACTTCCCTTGACTTCCGTGGGGCCAGGACTTCATCCCTCGTCTGTTAACTAGAGGCAGTAGCAGATCCATAGGTCTCCGTGTGGTCCCGTCACTGTGCGAGGAGCGGCGCACTTGGCCAGTGTCTGTTTGCAGTGCCGTTTTCAATACCACGAGTGCGAGATGTCTTAAGTGGCTGACATGGTGGCGCCGTGTGCACAGACCTGCCTTCGGGTAGGGTGGCACTGTAAGAATTCCAGGCAGCTGCTTAATCCGGTCAGGTGTGGGGCTTCAGGGTTCATCACGTCTTACTAGGGCCTGTCTTGCCTCAGCCTGTTGTGCAGCTCCAGTGGTTTCTAGAGCAAGAACTACCCTGCAGTGCCCTCCAGGGCTTTTGCCTGGGTGTCTCTGCCAGTGGGGATAGGAGAGCCCTTTCTTTGGAGCTGTGGTGCGCAGTACTGTCGTGGTGGATCTGACCTTGATGAAGTGTGAATTGCAAAGTCAGCATGAGATGCGTTCTGTAGACTGGGGGTGGAAAGTAGCCTGATAAGTTGTATGACCCTTGTAAATGTCAAGAAGTTGCCAAATGGCCAGGCCTGAATCTTATTAGAAATGCTGACTTATGAGAGAGAGGGGGCCAGTCATGTTCACTAGTGGAAATGGAAACTGTGTCCCTAAAGTGTCTGCTTCAATGTGTTGTAGAAGACCCAAGTGAGCTCCAACATAAGCAGGGGATAAATCCATGAAGGCCACGGGACTTCACTCATTTACTTCAGGACTGAGTTTATCCCATTCTACAGTACTTAAAACCAAACAAAGTGAGGTCAAGCGAACTTTAGCTTTTTCTGGCCGTCTCAGTGATGGCGAGAGTGCTGATGAAGCCAGGAAATTCTCTGTAGTCGAGATTCTCCCACTTCATGCATTCTGCATCGGCTCCAATCATACAGAACCTGCTCCTCTAGCCCATAAGTCCTCACCCTGCAGTTTAAAACAGGTGCCCAGCACATTTTGCTAGATTTTGAGGGGGATCCTTCCGTGGAGAAGGCTGAGAATATCTGCTCTAGGCCTTATGTGAACTGATTGAAGCAGAGCTACTCCTATACGTAGAGGGCTGCAGCATGGCCAATAGGGCTGTTCTCTCCATTCATCCCTAGCCCTGATCCTCCCTTGGTGTCAATTGACAGAGCTCCATGGATGTCAGTGGAGCTATGCTGGTTTGCACTAGCTGAGGAACTGACCCCTGTATCTCAAGCATTGTTTATCCCCAGGCCTTCCAAGAGTCCTGCATTCTGAACAAAATAGAAGGTGGGTAAAGGAATTTAGTTTTAATCTATATTGACCAGGCAGAATATATCAGTTTATTGGGCAACCTGGACATAATTAGACCTCTGGAGATACCACAAAAACATAGTGATCAATATAGAAGATTAGTGAACCGTGTGACTGTCAATGAAAATGGCCTTCTGGCTCTTTCCTTGTGCTGTGTTCTTGGTTGTCTTAATTCATGTTTTTTGGTACCATCTGGATAGCTTCTGTGCTGTAGTTTTCCTGGCTACTAGCCCATTGGATAAGATACAGTGCTAATAATTTTTTTAATGAATGGTTAGTTAACGTGTAATGAAGGCCTCAGGCAGAGTAATTTTAGTGCCTTCTCTGGTGCCTGTCCTCAAGGCTTTTATCTTGCTAATGATCCAGCTGTGGGATCTGACTGGCAATACCAAGAGGGGAAGAATATTACGTGATAGAAACAAAAATGAGAGGAAAAGGATCCCCACTACACCATTTTCATGGCTAGCTTGGTAATTCTGTGTTAGAGGCTAGTGTAAATGAGCATAGGTGCATTTAAGTGACCTCTTCTCTGATTTACACCAGCCAAAGATCTGACCCAGAAAACCAGTGTGTGTGGACACAGATCAAATATCATTTTTACATCCCACAAGAACCCCTGTAATGAGCCAGCACCGCCTACGTTTCCTATCACAACTTCGCTTCCAAGTTGGAGTGAGTTTGAGCTGCATTGCAAAAGCTGGGTTCAAAGCTCAGCCTGACGTGTGCAACTCAAGTATAACTGTTGTGCTGTTGGAAGTTGTCCAGTATAAAGTATCCTGACTGCTCCCAGGGCAGGGGGAAGGAAAGGAAAACCAGGGGCAGGGGTCACAGTTGTGCAAAAACACACTGTTCTGATTCAACTTCCCTTATTCAGCACCTCCTCCTCTTGCTACTCTATTCCTTTGCAGATAGCTAGCTATCTAAGAATCAGACAGCTGTACGCAGGCCTATACACGCTGCAAGATCTCACTATCTAACTGTCCCCTCACATTGAGTTAGATCCTCTGCTGGTGTAAATCAGAGGAGCTACATTGTCCAACAATACTAAAACACCCACTGATTTCAATGGGAGCAGAGTTGGACTAATGCTGGGAGTGTGCATGGCAATGATGTGATCGTTCCCCTCTATTCAGCATTGGTGAGGCCTCATCTGGAGTACTGAGTCCAGTTTTGGGCCCCACACTACAAAAAGGATGTGGAAAAATTGGAAAGTGTCCAGCGGAGGGCAACAAAAATGATTAGGGGACTGGAACACATGACTTCTGAGGAGAGGCTGAGGGAGCTGGGATTGTTTAGTCTGCAGAAGAGAAGAATGAGGGGGATTTGATAGCTGCTTTCAACTACCTGAAAGGGGGTTCCAAAGAGGACGGTTCTAGACTATTCTCAGTGGTAGCAGAGGACAGGACAAGGAGTAATGGTCTCAAGTTGCAGTGGGGGAGGTTTAGGTTGGATATTAGGAAATGCTATTTCATTAGGAGGGTGGTGAAGCACTGGAATGCGTTACCTAGGGAGGTGGTGGAATCTCCTTCCTTAGAAGTTTTTAAGGTCAGCCTTGACAAAGCCCTGGCTGGGATGATTTAGTTGGGGCTTGGCCCTGCTTTGAGCAGGGGGTTGGACTAGGTGACCTCCTGAGGTCCCTTCCAACCCTGATATTCTATGATTCTATCCTGGAAGGATTCTGGACTGGAGTTGGGGAAGTATATTTAGAAGTTTTCATTGCTGTCTGCATTCCACGGGTGGCAACATCATCTAGTAGTTATCATGGAGTCCTGGGTTCCAATCTAGACTTCCTGTGTGACCTTGTGCCTCTGTCTTCCCTTTACAAATATGGGTAAATAACCCCACCTTTACACGTGAACTATTGATGAAAAGTGATGCATGTAATTAGCAGGCGGGAAACCCACTGAGTTTTAGAAGCAAAAGGAGGATGTTCAGTTTTTTTAGTTGATTGATGAGGAATGGAACGGACCCAGCAACCAAAACCATCTTCTAAAACACAAACGGAGACCAACGTATTTTTGATCTTACCTTTAGGGCTAGCATGTAGTGTGTAGGCAAGCTTTCTGAGCAGCAAAACTCAAGGGAGGAAGGAACTAGACAAGGACACAGACACTCTAGGTTCAATTTCTAGCTCCAGCACAGATGTTTGACCTTGGGTAATTCACTCGATGTCTCTGTGCTTCAGTCCCCCATCCAGATAACACTATAGGGATAATACTCTCTTCTCCCACCCTTTGTCTGGTCCATGTAGATTGTTGTAAGCGATTTTGCATCAAGGACTGTCTTGCACTGTGTATGTGTAACGCTGACAGACCTGGGCAGGAGAGAGAGAATATGAATCTTGCCTGCCTGCCACTAGATGGGACAGAACACCACACCCAGGAGGTGTGTGGGTTACATATGTACAGTGCCTAGCACAAATGGCCCCCAGTCTGTACTGGAGTCTGTAGGTACTAACGAGGTATAAATAATAATTTGTAGACCAAACACGACAGTATGGGATCAATTGTGCTCTAATGTGTGCCATCAGTGGTGATGTTCCAGGTACACAGTGCTGTAACTAATAGCTGGAACTGAGTCCCTGGTTCTTGGGTAAAGGTTTAGGGCTTTGGGGGTGGGTGAACTGCACTTTTCAGCTATCCTTAACATAGGAGGCCAAAGTTTCAGCTAGCTGGCTGTGAGATGCATTGGGGGTAAGCGTCATTTCTTCGCCCAACAGACTGAAGTTAACCAGAAGTAAGCCCTCTATGGTATATTTTGTATATTCAGTGTAAGTGGCACTTAACAGCCCCAAAAGGTTCTTGGAATCCATAGCAAACAGAGAATCCACTGACTCTTTAAGAGCACCTACGCAGAGAGCCAGTGTGAAGCTTTCAATATTTCTGACTAATACGTGGATTGTACTGTGATCTCAGCTCCCTTGGTATTTTCAATATGAAATCCTAATACTTGTTGTCTTTTTTTTCTTTCCAGTTTCAGCTGCTGATTGAAGTTGCTTGGCCTCTCTTTATCTTCTTTATACTGATCTCCGTACGCCTTTCGTATCCGCCCTACGAACAACATGAATGTAAGTAACAGATGAGGCTTCTGTACCAAGGACAGGCTATTGTTTCATGGCTTGGAGGGAATGCAGTTTGACACACTGATCAAATCTTAATCAGGGCTGTTTACCATCACCTTTCCTTCCCCCTCCAACTGCCACCAACACAGATCTTGGGGTGTTATGCCACTTGTGTCCTGCTGCTGCAGCATTGTACCTAGCTGCTGCTTCTCTTGGGTGCATTTGGCATTTATATTACGTTGGCCTAAGCAGGTGCTGTATGAAAACATCTAGTTTGTGGGAATCCTCTGGAAAGCACCTCAGCCTTATTCTCCGTCATTGGTCCTTGAGTCTCCCTTCAACAAAAATAGACCTAGAAGAAAGCCACATTCAGAGCAGCATGTGACTGGAGTTGCTTTAAGCAGTCTGGCTCCTGCTACAGGACAGAAAACACTAACCTGGGTTACCAGTTGTAATATGGCACTGCCCTAGCATGACTGACATAAGTTTTGGGACCAGATGGGATAGCCTAAGTGTTAACCATGTTCCTAAACAGTACTAAAGGCCTGCAGTGAGCTGTCGCACAGAAGTTCAGGGACATGGTGAAAACATTGCTCAGCCTCCTTAGGCCACAGACTGACCCAAATTGTGGAAGGGCACTGCTGTGCTGTAGTGGAGTCCCCCACCACCATTTTTTGCAGTGCAGATGGGACTTTTACCTGCCCCTCTCCCAAATAGCAGACGTCAGCAGCTTGGACTCTGCTGCTCCACAAGGATGTCGCTCTGCGTCACTCGGCACCCCACTGACTGCAAAGTCTGCAGGCAGTTCATACGGAGCAGCTTGCAAGGCTGAGCTTCCTTGCAAGCTTGCTGATGCAAGCAGAACCATCTTCCTCACAAAGCGTTCAGAACACTGACTGCCAGCCTGTTGGGAGAGGGGACAGTGCAACTTCCAGCGAGGGCCTGGGAAAGATAAGACAGTGTGGTCCAGTGGGTAGGGCACAGGACATGGAATCTGGAAACCTGGGTTCTGTTTCTGCTGTCCTGCTGTGTGATTCTGGGCAAGTCACTTCCCCTCTCTGTGCCTCTGTTTGCTCTCCCACCAGTTGGCTGTCTTGTCTAGTTAGGTAAGATCTCTAGGGCAGGGGGGCAGTTTTATATGTGACTGTACAGCGACCAGAAACGTGGGCCCTGATCTCAGCTGGGGCTAGATGCTATTGCAATATACATACTAAAGAATATAAAAACACCAGGGACTATGTTAGCTCAGCACTCTGCAGACTCCACAATAGCCAGCTTATCTCAAGGGCATTCCTTTCCATCTTGAATCATGTGCAGCTTTTTGTTTGGGGAAAACTGGTTTGCATTGTCTTTTTAGATCTATGGACATAGAATAGTCCTCTCAGCAAGCCTTTTAAAGAGGCAAGAGGAAGCTATCCTCCCTTTAGTTACAGTGACCTCTTCTTCAGTCCTCTGGGATGCTCCCTGTTTAGTGAGCCAGATTTGCTGGTCAGCACAGTGCCCAGTCTTATGATAACCGCCTCTTCTCAGCAGTCAGCCGACTGGGGAAGGGCTCCTTGTTTATCTTTCCTTTACCTGATTACTTCTAGGTTAGGCCTAATGCCCAAGTTAAGAGAATTTTTGCTCTCCACAAAATGCACAGGGGAATCCCAAGTGTTTGATTTTTTTAAATGCAATATAACAATGGATTATTATGAAAGCAGCTTTGCTACATTAGCACAACATTCCCACATGAGTGACTGCTGTACAGAATGCTGCCTGGTAGAGCTTCAAGCCATCTGGGAATCCCTTCACAGAGAAATATTTTATTCACGATCTGGCTTCCAGCAAAGCTGAAGTGCTGATGTTTGCAGTTTCCATTTTCCAGCAAACTCTGGACATACGCAGCCTTGTGGGTTTTCTTTTTTGCCTAACTAGCCTATTGCTGTCTGTAATGCTTGGCAGGCACTGGAAGTTTCCCTGGGTGAAATTTTGTGCTTTTGCACTCCTTGAGACATTCCTACAGTCTTTCCTTACATGTTAGTGGAGACAGTGGCATTAGGACACCTTTCAGAGTAACAGCCGTGTTAGTCTGTGTTCGCAAAAAGAAAAGGAGTACTTATGGCACCTTAGAGACTAACAAATTTATTTGAGCATAAGCTTTCGTGAGCTACAGCTCACTTCATCGGATGCATACTGTGGAAAGTGTAGAAGATCTTATTATATACATACAAAAAGCATGAAAAAATACCTCCTCCCACCCCATTCTCCTGCTGGTAATAGCTTATCTAAAGTGATCACTCTCCTTACAATGTGTATGATAATCAGGGTGGGCCATTTCCAGCACAAATCCAGGGTTTAACAAGAACATCTGGGTGGGGGGGTAGGAAAAAACAAGGGGAAATAGGCTACGTAGCCTAATGACTAAGCCACTCCCAGTCTCTATTCAAGCCTAAGTTAATTGTATCCAATTTGCAAATGAATTCCAATTCAGCAGTTTCTCGCTTGAGTCTGGATTTGAAGTTTTTTTGTTGTAAAATAGCAACTTTCATGTCTGTAATCGCATGACCAGAGAGATTGAAGTGTTCTCCAACTGGTTTATGAATGTTATAATTCTTGATATCTGATTTGTGTCCATTTACTCTCTTACGTAGAGACTGAAACTCAGGGAAAGCAGATGGGCTCAGTCAGCCAGGGGCTCAGTTGGTGTAAATCAGTGTAGCTCAACTGATGCTCATTTACACCAGCTAAAGATCTGGCCCTGTGTGTAGCCTGAAAGCCAGAGCTATTTTCCCTGTTGAGACTTGCACTCAGACTTGCATATGGCTGCCCTAAATCCTTTCCTTTTAACACTGCTGTGTCAGGAGCTGAATTTTAATCAACCATTGTTTGACATGCAATCCTTCCCTTTTATTTAATAATTTATTTTTTGAGGCTTTTAGCAGGGATTGTGGAGTGGCATCCGACAACTTTTAATTCACTCTTTGAGTTAACCTCTTTCCTTTCATCTAATAGCTTCCAAGAATAAGTAACTGGATTCTTTCTTTTAAGCCTCTCTCTAGTGCAGTTCAGTTTCATTGAACATTCACTCATTTGCAAACAGACATGGATGAATCTTGTAAAGTGGAATGTTGTCTCTTGCTGAATCAGGAGCTGGGCTATGGAGAGAAACCTTGAAATCAGGTCACAGTGAACTCTGTGGCAACTCTGCATATGTCTTTAGAGGAACAGAGTTGTTATCTGTAGTGTTTCAGAGTAGCAGCCGTGTTAGTCTATATCCGCAGGAAAAAAAGGAGCACTTCTGGCACCTTAGAGGCTAACAAATTTATTAGAGCATAATCTTCCGTGAGCTAGAGCTCACTTCATTGGATGCAATGAGCTGTAGCTCACGAAAGCTTATGCTCAAATAAATTTGTTAGTCTCTAAGGTGCCAGAAGTACTCCTTTTCTTTTTATCTGCAGTGGTGATCCTGTACGGTGTTAAGAAATGACTTGCAGACAATTACAAATTATAATAGTAACTAGGCCATGCAAAAACACTTTCAAACTGAGATATTAAATATTTTATTGTGCCAAGCATGGTTAAAAACAAAAAATTGTCATCTGTCTAATCTTATCTGAAAAGGACAAGAATGTAACCAAGGGTTGAGTCGCATATTAGGCTAAGCCTTTGCCATTCAGGATTTTGATAATTTTTAACAGCTTCAGCTTGTTGAAGCACTCTTGTCAGATCTAGTCAGCAGGATTTTTCCCCTTATATAAGTGATCGTTATGACTTCCACCATAGTCAAGCCAAACGGACCATTGTAAATATAGCTCTGTGGTGAGATTGCTGTCTTTATCTTGTGGAAACTTACTTTTTTTAAAATCTGCCTCCTCAGGATTTCAAAACGTGTACTTAGAAAAAAATCTGCATTACTTTAAACATTGCTGAAAAAGAAGCTGTGTTTGCAGCTATGTCACTGAAGGGGAATGCTAGCATTCTGTATGCTGCACTTCTAAATGTAGAGGATGCCTGGTTGCTGCCAGCTGCCACTTTGTGTTTCAGCTCACATGCAGAATGCAACAGAGTGGATCCAAATGTACATGCTCTCGTGGACTACGTATTGGTTCTTTCTTTGCTAATTTCCTTAATCTGAAATGGAAGTCAGAGCAAAATAAATGTTTTGCTCTTTGTGCCTGGGAAAACTTAAAGGAAACTGATTTGGTTTAGTTTAAATTCCATCTTTGTCGCCAAAGAGCTCAGAGATGGTGAATAAGCTTCCTGGTTTATAAAAATCTCATGGGACTGTGGAAGGTTTTCAGTTTTGTAGAAAGGAGGAAGAACTGGAATGATAGAATCCTAGGCTTCAATAGTAATTTTATGCAAATACTATTAAAGATAACGGCAGGAGACTCTCTCTTTTCCTAGCGCTGGTGGGAAAAGTCATTTTGCCTTCTGTGTACTGTAAATGTCCCAGTATTTCCTTTCACTTACATGGCCATAAGAAGATAGCCTCTCTCATCCTGTCATTGGTAGGAGAGAAGACCCAAAGATATCCCTGTGAAACACTGTAATAAAGCTCAGTCATGAGTAATTTACATCACTGCCTTAATAGCTCTATATGAGGCAGTAAGAAAAACTTGAGGGGTGATTTTTTTTCTCCCCTCTAATAGACCCTCAGTAATCGGAGCTGGGGTTTGCAAAGGAGCCAGACAGCTGGAAGCCAATGGGAGTTGGGTTTCTAACTCTTAGCTGCCTTTGAAAACCCTGCCCCAGAGGTATTGCTCAGAAGCCAAGCCACTGTGAGTTAGTAGTGACATGCCCACCTCACTGGTGGACTAGTGCAGAAACTCTCCTGCTTTCCTGGCATTTCAGTGGTATGGGCTGAGTTGGAAGCATCTTTAAAAAATAAAATGGGACTCCATTAGACAGTGGCCCAAATGTTGAATCCAAACACCCCTGAATGCTACAGGGGTTCAAAAAACAAATTCAAATGTTGCATGTAGCCTGAACCAAATTCTTCTCATTAGAACCAGGGTAAATCCAGAATGACTTCATGGGTTCAAGAGACGTGTGTGCACAGAGCTGTGAAGTTCTGTGTAGTGTGTCACTTATTTCCGTGCATAGCATGCCTGGAGTGACAGGATGACGGCAGGGAGGAGTCTGTACCTCAGACACGGCAGAAGCAAGAGGTAGGAGGGACCTAAGGGCAGCTTGAAAGATGGAAGGAGCTAGGGCTGATAAGGGAGCCTGCAAGGGAAGCCGTTCTGCTCATCCATGCATCTGAAGGGAGAATTTACCCTGTAAGCTTTTCTTAGCTGTCAGCCTGCTCTCTCTGTGTTAAAGCATCTGCTAGGACATGCGAAATTAGGGATTGGTGAGGAGGGAATTTGGAGAACATTCTAGCTCCAAATTCAGGGCCAGGTCTTGCATTCCTTGTTCACGCCAAAGTCCTGTCAATTCAATGTTGCCAAGTCTGTTTTATTTGTTCATTTTGTTTTGTTTTGTTTGTTTATTTTGTGTGTCAAATTTTTGGTGGGGGTTTTTTTTAATTATTTTTAAAATCTCAAGTTTTGGGGGCTGGACTCCTAAATGCTTGGGGTTGACATATTGTTGACCTCAGTAAGAGGTTATGGTACATAATGACCAGATTGGACCCTGTGCTGTCACACACCTCTCCCATTTCCTGGCTATGTTTACGATTTTGCAGTTTTGCAAACAAAGGGGTAACTTTTTCAAACATTTGCCCCTCTGTTCTAGGTCACTTTCCAAACAAGGCCATGCCTTCAGCAGGAACCTTGCCCTGGATCCAAGGGATTATCTGTAATGCCAACAACCCTTGCTTCCGCTACCCAACGCCTGGGGAATCCCCAGGTGTCGTTGGAAACTTCAATAGGTCCATGTAAGTACAAGATCTTGCTTTTCCTTGTGACCATTCACAGGGGTCAGCCAGCCAAGCGTAAGCTGTGAATTGTGGGAGTAGCAGCTGGTGGTTAGATTGGCATTAAGGGTTAAGTTACTTCAATCACCACCAAGTGCTTTGTTCTGTGGTGGTGCTTTTCTGCAGCTGGACTCTGAAGGAACCATACAAAGAACCCATGGCTGCAGTACCCAGCCTGTGATGTTATCGATAGCAAATGGTTGTGCAAACCCAGTGTTTACTCAGGCACAGCTCCCAGTGAAATAAGGAGCTTTGCCTGAGTAAGGAATGAATATAAACAGAGGTCCAATTTGGCCTATAGAGAGAAGTCAGGTCTATTCCTTGACTGAGAAGCTGTTTCATTTGGGCGATGCCAGGTTACAGAATGGGTGTGACCTTTCCCTGATTTCCCTGCTACAGAGAAATCACTGGCCAATTGTAATAAAGGCATTAAAACCCCCCATCAAAGCTGTTGCATCTTGTACCTGTAAGGGCAGGAACAATAGTGGTGGTCTGGAACAATGGCCATAAAGCACTTCTGGGCAATGAGATTGGGTGAGTGAGATGGAGGCATGTGCGCCTTCTGCTAGTCACTGAGGAAAATACACCGTTCATACATACCACGTGATATGTGTGTAACATGAAGAGCTTTCGAGAACAGCCCTGTGTTAGGGGTTGGTGTGACTCTGCATTGCTCCCAGGGGAGCACTGGGAAGCGTTGCCTCAGACATGCCATGTTCCCTGGGTTCCCCAGTCTGGGGGAGCAGGGGGGAAATTCACAACATGGCACTATGGAGAAGCCTTGCCCAAGTGGTCCCACTGGGATGAAATGCAGGGGCTCCAGCTGTGGTTGGCATCCTTGTGCCCTTCCCTTACCACCTCACTATGCCCACGGGACGGTCAGCCCCAATCTGTCCCTAAGACCACGGCTAGAATCACAGAATAATCGGAGTTCAGGGTCAGTCGACTTTGGCTACCTGGAAAAGAATTGTAAAGAACAGGGGATGTATTTGTTGAGGCGCTCTACAAGCAGTGTGTTTTATCCTAGCAGATAAAACCAGACAAACCTACCAGAAGCCCTTCACATTCTCCCCCATCTTAAATAACTGCTTTCAAATAACTTGAAGGGTCCCAGTGCACTTAGCTTTCTTTAATCTTTCATTAAAGGCCATTTTTATTTAGGCTGTCTTGCATTGTCCCCCGGATGGTCGCTTAACAAAGGTTTCACGGTACAGGAGAGGGTTGTCTTTGAATATAAAGGAATTGAGACATAAAACTGAGCCTGTGGAAGTTGGTGCGGACAGCACCACATGGGTAATGATTGCATTGTCTGCTTTTCCATCCCTGTCCTGCAGCATTTCCCGCTTGTTCTCGGATGCCAAGAGGTTACTCTTGTACAGCCAGAAGGACAGCAGCTTAAAGGATGCTCAGAAACTCCTGGGAAAACTGCAGAAGCTCGGGAACTCTGGCTCAGGTAACTCAGTGGGGAAAAAGAGCCTTGTTCATTTGGCAGTAGAGTTTGTTGTTGTTAGTCGGCACTTTTTAAATTTTATTTTTTGGAAACCGGTGGAAAGGGCATAGTGTAGATTGTCCTTGCTCATCAGATCCCACCCTAAAAACATCTGTTTCTCCAGGATCCGTGTTCTGTGCAGTTTCAGTCTTTCTGGCCTATGGCAGCCACCTGCAGCAGCTGGTTTTTAATGTAAACTTACCATCCTCAGAGCTGAAGTGAGCCTCATTTGAGAAATTGCCAGCATTGTAGCCTGTTGCTGCATTTTTGGAAAATACAAGTTTGTTAGGGATTTCAGAGACAAATGACAAAATAGTAAAGCACATTTTCCAATACAGCTGGCACTGGCAGGGGAAAAACAAACAACAAATCAAAGGTTCAGAAGAATGGGGGTGTGAAACAGCTGACGCTGAGCCATAGCATGCTAAATCAAAGCAGAATATTATCCAAAATTAATTACCAAAATATTATTTTAATATTGTAATTGTAATAATATTAATTACCAAAATTATCCAAAATATTATCCAAAATTATCCACTTCCCTTCTAATGTAACCAGGTGTATTTAGGGCACTTAATTATTTGATGTAGTCTAGAAGGAATTTGATCAGTTTCTAAAACAAAATGCTGTCTCTTAGGTATTTGTATGGCCTCCATTATTGTAGAATCTGAATGCCTCAGTGTTTCATATATTTATCCTCACAACACACTGATGTGGGGAGGGAAGTGCTATTTTCCCCTTTCTCAGATGGGGAACCAAGGCACAGAGTCAAGGGACTTGCCCAGGGTCATGCAGAAGGCTATGGCAGAGCAGGGAACTGAACCTGAGTTTCACACATCCCTGGCTAGCAACATCCTTCCTCTTGTCGTGTAAATGCCATCTAATTGGGCAGCCTTTATTAAGAGTTTTTTGTGTACTCCCCTCTAAAGGAATAAATATTTATTCCATAGGTTATTTTTCATATACTGCCTATGCTCTGCCTCTCCTATTAGAAACAATGATGGGGGGCAGGGGGTTGGTTTAAAAAGCAACCTTCTAAAAACAAATGGAAGCATCCAGTTGTGGACATGCCTCTAAGCTTTGATCCTTCAACTGCCTTTGCACAGCCAGGCTCCTGCACCCACATGGAGCCTTGCTGAAGTCAGTGGGATTTAAGTACATGCATAAAGTTAAGCACATGCTTTGCAGAATCTGGGTCTTAATGGGGAACTGCACAATTTTACTACGGTGACATTCCTCCCACATACATTACTTGGTGTCTGTTCATGATTCTTGTTTAGGCCCCAGTCCTGCAAAGACTTAACTACTCGCAGTGCTTCAAGTTCTCAGGTCAGAGTTAGACTATATACTCTTTGGAGCAGGGCTTGTCTCTTTACTTCTTTTCACATCCTTGGGCACTTAGACAAGTGTGAGTATGTATTAGGACTCAATATATCCACTAATATATTGGGGGGTTGTGTTCAGAGTAGAACTGTGCACAAGGTTCATTTAGAGATTCAAAACCCCAAATCAGGGCTCTGCAGCTTCTGGGCTCTAAGCAGACCAACAAACACCAGCCTAGGCCTTCAACATTTCCAGCTTATTTCCTTCTCTTCTGTCATAGGCCATGTCTGCACCCTTTTGCTCACCTTTGTCTTTGGGGGCACCAGTTGTTGAAACCCTACCCTGTCAGGCTTGGTGCCCTGCCTCAGGTTTCTCCCTGGCTGCTCCCCCCCCCCACTTGTTGCTCCTTTGGGAGCTGACCGATAGGGTCATTGTCTTGTGCCCAAAATCCACCAGGTCTCGAACATGAGGAAGCAGCTTGATTTGCTTGCTCAGAAGGAGAAACACAATGCCCTGCTTCTTCCCAGCCCTGCCACACTAACTAGGGAGTCCCAAATCTTCATGCCCCAGGTGTGTTCAAGGCAGCTGCTTTTGACAACTCCCCAATGCCACCTGCAGAGAGTCTGTGCCCTCGTCTGACGCGTGTGCGTGCAGAGAACTACGCCCAAGACTTTCTAAAGTGATTTTGGTTGCTTCCATTTTTGGGTGCCCAACTTGAGACTCCTTAAAGGAGCCTGTTTTCCACAGGGTGAGTGCTTAGTACTTTCTGAACTTCAGCCCCCTTTTAAGGTGTCTCAGGTTGGTCACTGAAAACTTGAGGCACCTAAAATCACTGGTCAATTTTGGAAAAAACTTGTCTACATTTTACTGGTATGTCTTGTTCCCCTTGAAAATTAATGGCTGCACTCCTGTTGCCTTCAGATGGCGCAGAAGCAAGCAGTGTCCTAATTGGGAAGAACAGTACTTTCCATAACCAGGCCCTGAGGGTGTGCTTTGATATTGTGTGTAGTGAAACTTGAAATGTGAATCCAGTTTGGATGTTTAAAGAAATCTGATCAGAGCCACAAAGCTGAACTAGATGCTGCTGGGAAGGCCAGAGGGAGGGGTTCTACTCAGGGGTGTCTCACATAGAGGAGCTTGGTCAGTACAAGTCAAAGCAAGGATGCTCAGCTGTGTGATTATAATGCTTGGTGAATTTATTGCAAAGACAAGGCTCAGAGCAAACACAGGAAAGAGCTTCATTCTATAATAAAGTGTAAAAAAAAAAAAAAAAATCAACTAATTCAACTGTGTGTGTGTCAGTAAAAAACCCAACAGCTTAGTCATGACAGACCCTCCATTGTTGGTGTGGCAGAGAACAAAGCCCGATTGTCCCTTCCATTTTACACTCACTTACAAACTCTTCATTAAAACAAGTCTGGAAGTTTCCTATCAGGCTCTCCTGGCTGCCGACCTTTTCTCTAGCCACATATAATAAAGGATCTTTCAGCTTTGTCTGACACAGGAGGACCATTTCTTACAGGACCAAGAGGAGGATGAGGGATATAGCGGTACCCTACCATTCCCTGCCACCTGCCATTGTCATCTTCAATGGGGTTCACCGATTCTGCTTTGATCAGTTTAGTGTTAAGAGAAAATTGTTGGTTTTTTATTTTATTATTGATCAAAACATTTCAGAACTTTTATTGGAAATCTGGCCTTTTTCCATGGAAAAAAGGCAGAAAATTTTCACATCTGAAGGCTTTTCATCTAAATAAAACATTTGATTTTAAAATCAAAGTGAATTTTTTTCCTCCTTTTTGGTCAATTCCCTGTTTCTCTCCCTATTTTTTCCTAGTTTAAAAACAGGGACGGGGTAAACCTTAAAATCTGAAGCTAAAAAAATATTTGAATCTAAATGAATATTTCTATAAATTGAACATGTCCATGAAAAATTTCGAAAAAATGCCAATTTTGAGGAGAAAGATGAAAACACTTAGCTTTTTGCCTACCAGCCCTCATTTATTCTGAATGATTGTTTAACACTTACCATAGTAATTAAACACCTGAGCCATCTCCAGGCCCCATTGTGTGAGGTGCTGGACAAATACCTAGTATAGGGCAATATTGCATCATAAAGGTTTTTATGTCAGTTGTAGGAAAGGGGTGAGGTCACAGCTTGTCCAGGGAAAAAAGATGACATACTTAATCCCCTTTCTCTTCCCCCACCTAAATAAGGAACTACTTAAGTTATCTTGTTCCAGCACCTTGAGTTAAAATGTAATCACTATGGACCTGCCTCTCTCCTGTACTAACATGGCCCTCTGTGCTGGTGCGATAAGGAAGTGCTGTTATATCCCCCTTTTACAGCTGGGGAACTGAGGCAGAGAGAGAGAGTGCCATGCCTAAGATTACACAGGAAATCTATAGCAGAGCAGGGACCCGAACCTGGGTTTTACAACTGGACTAGCTTTCCCCTGCTTTGTTACACAATGGAGTTACACTGGTACAAATCCAGTGACTTTAATGTATGCTTAGTCTAATAGAGGAGGAGCAGGCTCCATAGGTGTGTTCTCTCTTTGTGCTGATGTTTTCCAAAGGACACAGACCTTAAGTCTGTAATATCTACTTGTCTTAGTGTAAAGAGGAGATAGCTGCAGCTGTGAAATGGTATGGCAGGGTGACAGGGTATTTCTGACTACTGGATGAAGAAGAAAAACAGTCCTTAAGAGTGTTGTGTGGTGGTTTCTCCAGGATCATTTTGATATTTGTCTCCTGTTACATCTAAGTAAATACACCATAACTCCACTCAGGTCAATGGCGTTATGGAGGATTTACAGTGGTGTAGCTGAGGCCAAAACATGGCCCTCTTGTCTCCAGCCCCCTTGCAGCTCATCAGAACAAATGCTCAAAGCACCTGTAGCTGTTTTCTGTGGCCTATTCATCCTCATGCTTCCCTTTTCCTTGCTTAGTTGCTGGCACAGAGCCAAACCTAAGTCTCCAGGGAGCGCAAAGAGACATTGGTTATCACTTGTCTGCAAAACATAGAGACTCATTAAGAATTTTTACATTATGGCATGAAACATGTCAGAGAGAGAAGGACAATGGGGGCTGCCCATGGGCCTCAGGCTAATCCTAACAGACTAAACAGCAGGAATTCTGGCACTCTGCTGGTTGCGTCTCACATGTGAGCATCAAGTCCTTGACATGGTAAAGGCATTTTGTTTGTTCTTGGCAGGATTGGGAGTGTTCTCATGAAATAGACAAGCTGGTTAAAGGGAGGGAGTAGACAGATATAGAAAGGGGTCATATGGCATTTTGGTTCTACTCAGCTTGCCACGCAGGGCTCCCTTGTTATCGTACACTCATGACTATAGCGTGTCATCACTTTCCAGAGCATATGGGCCATCTGTGTTTCATTGGGTGTCAGATATCCACAGATAATCCCGATAGCTTTCCTCCTCTTGTGCAACCATGCCCGTTGCATTCTGCACAAGCTGGGTCTGCACCAGCCAAGGGCAGGGCAAAGTCCAGAGGTTGCATCTGACTCTGACTGCCCCCTCTCAGCTCATCACAATATGCAGGACTCAATTGGCACAGTTGTTGCCTTTCTGTAGAGCAGTACTCAGCAGCGCGCTTCTAATAGCGGTTGCATCTTTATC